TGTATGTTGTGGTGTGTGTGTGTGCGTGTGTGTGTGTGTGTGTGTGTGTGTGTGTTTGTGTGTGTGTGTGTGTGTGTGTGTGTGTGGTGTGTGTCTTTGTGTGGTTGTGTGTGTGCTGTGTGTGTGTATTAAATATATATGTGTGTGTGTGGTGTGTGTGTGTGTGTTGTGTGTGTGTGTGTGTGTGTGTGTTGTGTGTGTTGTGTGTGTTGGTGTGTGTAGTGTATGTGTGTATGTGTGTGTGTGTGGTGTATGTGTATATATATGTTATTAAGTTATATATATATATATATATATATATATATTATATTAATATATAGATAGACACCCACGAAAGATCACAAAGCCCCAACGACAGCACTTGGGCTGCAATTAGGCCTTAATAAAAGGTTACAAGGATATTCGATCAGAAAATTGCTAATTTCATCCTGAGTGCCTGCGTGTCAGTCAGGCAAGGATGCCTTTCATATATATATATATATATATTGTTTTATATATATATATATATATATATATATATATATATATATATATATATATATATATATATATATATATATATATATATGTTATATGTATAGTATATATAGATATACATATATAAATAGATATATTATATATATATATATTATATACATCACATATCTGTATCTATCTATATACATATATGTTTGTGTGTGTGTGTGTGTATACATGCATACATATATATACCTACATATGCATATCTCAATGCACAAACACACAACACACATAACCACACACACACACACACACACACACACACCACACACACACCACAACACACACACACACACCACCACACACACCACACACACACACACATACACACATACACACATACACACATACACACATACACACAGATACAAATACATCTACATATACATATCATATTTATACATATAAGATACATACACATATATATACATACACATATATAAACATATACGTATATATGCATATATATTATGTGTATGAGTGTAATGTGGTGTGTCGTGTGCGTGTGCGTGTGCGTGTGCGTGTGCGTGTGCGTGTGCGTGTGCGCGTGTGCGTGTGTGTGTGTTGTGTGTGTGTTGTGTGTGGTATGTATGTATGCGTATGTAGTAGGTATGTATGATCTGTATGTATGTATGTACGTAATGTATGTATGTATATTTATGTACTATGTGTATATGTGTGTATATATATATATATATAATATAGTATATATATATATATATATATATATATATATATATAATATGTATTTATACACACAAATATATATAATATATATAACCTATATAGATTACCCGATAGACTAAGCCCAAGATGGAGCCACCAACCTGCACGAACTCGAAGCGAACGAGACCGAACTCCTTGGTCTGGATGGTCTGCGCGCCCTCGCCGTCGTCCCAGAAGAGGTCCCCCTTTGCCCTCCTGTCCAGACCGATGGCCACGATCACGCCCATGGGCTGGAGGCGGCTTTGTTGTGTGTTGAGGGCGGGCCGCTGCGTCGGGAGGATGTGACCGCCCCGGATGTGCAGGGGGATGACGTCCACGAGGGCCGGTGACGTCACTCGCTCGCCAGGACGCTCCTCCGCTTGACCCTGTGGGAGGGGGGCGGGGGGTTAGGGGGGGAATGGAAGGGAATGGCGAATTTTTGAAGCGATGTCGCGTGGTGAGAATTAGTGTTATGCAGGTTTAGGAGGAGATAACAAAACATATTGATAAATTCTTTTATTCCTACTTGTACTCTCCTTCTCCCTCTCCCTCCCCCCCTCTCTCTCTCTCACTTCACTCACTCTCTCTTCCTTCTCCCTCTCCTTCTCCTTCTCCCTCGTCTCTTTCCTTCTCCCTCTCCTTCTCCTTCTCCCTCCTTCTCTTCTCCTTCTCCCTCTCTCCCTGCTCATCTCCTTCTCCTTCTTTTCATTTCCTCTCCTTCTCCCCCTCCATCTCCTTAATCCCTATCTCTATCTCTCTCCCCATCTCAATCATTCCCTCATCCTTCTCTCTCTCTTCCTTTCCTATCCCCCATCCCACTTTCCTCTTTCTCTCTCGCCCTGCTTCTCCCTCAATTTTTTCCCTACTTCCGTATTTAATCCCTTGTGAGCGCGCAGTGTGACAACGAACAAAACATATGACTGGAAACAATAACTTATATTGCAAGTATTTTATTTTTTTAGCGTTTCGAATTGCAACCATAATCAGAAAAGACGGGCGCTCGAAGTTATTCCTTCTCATATATATATGTGATGTGTGTATGTGTGTGTTGTGTGTTGTGTGTGTGTGTTGTGTTTGTGTGTGTGTGTGTGTTGGGGTGTGTGGTGTGTGGTGTGTGTGTTATGCGCGTTGTGTGTGGCTTGGGTGTGTGCGTGTGTGTGGTGTGTGCGTGTGTGTGTGTGTGTGTGGTGTGTGTTGTGTGTGTGTGTGTGTGGTGTGTGTGTGTGTGTTGTGTGTGTTGTTTGGTGTGTGTGTAGCTGCGTGCGTGCGTGCGGGT